GTAACTGCTCTATTACTCCATCAGGTAGAGGAGGAGGAGGAGCACATATAATTATTATTGTTAATGATGTTATTGTTTTATTTCTTGTTACTCCTCTAATGACACTGATAATGGTACTTGTTATTTCATTCTCTCCAATATACTCAATCTTCATTTCTTGTAGTTTTGAATTCATTTCTATACATTTCTCAAGTTCAGTGCACTTGTCTGTGTAGTATGTATTGTCAACTGTTGGTATAGTAGGAAATTCCATTCTTAAGTGCAGTATCTTCAATTGAGGAAGATTGAGGAACTGTAACAATACAAGACAGGGAATGTATTGATCTGATGATAACTTACAGTAGCACTCCTGAATATTGTATAGAAGTGATGGTTGTAATAATTTGTGTATTAATTCATCAGTGGGTCCACTCAACCCTACCTCCAGTCTCTTATCCTGGGTCTGTAGTGAGTTATTGGTTAGTCCAGCAGTAAAGACTGATAGTGACTGGTTATCATATACATCCCCCAGGTGTAAGTGATTCCATGTTGTGTTGAAATTGTTTATACAATAACTGAGACACAACCAGTCATACAATGATAATCTTACTCTTCTATCCAGACACAGTGAGTGGTTGTTGATGGATTGTACTAATACCTGACATAATGTTGTGTTCTGTGATTCATACAGGAGTTGAAGAAGAAGAATGGGAACATTGTCATAATTATCAGATCTGACATGATTAAATTGTCTAATCTCAGGATTCTGATAAAAGTAGGAGAGATAACAAGTCTCAAATCCAAACAATGGTTTCCTCTTACACTGTAAGTCAAGTTGTTGTTCATTAAAATACTGTTGATAGCTATCATGTTCAAGGTGAGTTAGACCTGCCACAAACCTCAGACACATTCGAAAGTGATCATCATCAAAGTGATCCTTAAACACTTCCTCTCTCTTCTTCTCATGCTTAGCTATCCACCATGCAGCTAGAAATTCCTGTATACTCAAGTGAAGGAACTGATACTTCTCCTCATCATATTCTGTGAATCTTGTCATCAATCCAAGATAGTCTTCCTTGACTGCCTCACTCAGTGACTGTAGTTGATGTGAAGAGAATGTCATTGTTGTATTAGCCAGGTTAGTATAAGCTAATTGACACATCTCTTGTAAAGGTTTAGCTAATTGTGATGGTAATGAAGAAAGACTACCTAAAGTATGTGGGTTAATGTCATGTCTTTTAACATGTCTTCTGAT